AAGAAATCATTAAAAAATAAAATTATTCAGAATTGAATATATTTTTTTTATCTTTAAATTATTATAAAAATATTTTTTATTTCAAATTAAATTATAAATTATTTCGTTTATTAACTTTATAAAAAAAATCTAACAATATAATTTTATTTGACATTTAATAAAAACTCCACACATAAATATAATTTTTTATAATATTTTTAAAACAAAAAATATATTTAACATAGTTAATTATTAGTATGTTTTTTAAATAAAAGATAATTAAGTTTTTTATTTAATTATGAATAAATTATTCTTCTATCTAATTAGTTTACTTTACAATAAAATGATACCTTGAATTGGGATTTTACAAAGAAACAAGTCTCAAAGAACTATCAAAGGACTATTTTGACCACTAAGCAACAAGTTGCAGTGTTTATTTGGTGGATAGAGAGGCATCGACTTTTGGTCATTCCGGGTGTCTATGATTATGATATGATAACACTTTTTGACAGTTTATTATTTTTAAGAAAATGGTCCTTTTTCTGTAAAAAGTGTTTTCCTTTAAAAATTATATTTTCTCTAGGACATTATTACAACAGCTTGATTAAATTTTCGATTTTTTTTTCACAATTTCTTCATGTATTCATTCAATATTTAGATAATACTCTGACCTTCACGTAGTTTTCACTTTCAAACTATTTTCTAGGATATTAGTAATATTAGGAAATTTGTTTTGATTATTATATATATTTATGTAATTGATACATTTTGGCGTATCAAGTTTAGTAAAAAAGAAATTCTCTTTCAAAAAAAAGATATACTTTTAATATAATTTTAATAATTTTTATTTTTAATTTAAAATAAAAAAATAAAAAAAATCAGAAATATTTACATAATTATAATCCACATTTTTATTTATGTACTTTGTTTCTTTTTCATCCTCACCCTTTCTTTTTCTGACACCCGTAACAACAAAATAATTTATGATGTTGTATTAATTTTTTATTGAAGACTCTCTTATATGTTTTTCTTCTAGTTATTATTAAATTTAGTTTTTAAATTTTAGAAGTAATAGTTTATCTAAAAAAAATTGATATTTTAATTATTATGGGGTTCCTTGTTACTTCCTTCGATTACTTAATTTTTAAATAACGAAATAATTAATTTAAGTTGAAAAAACAAACTTTATAATACATTATATATTTATACGTTTATACTCATGCTTGAATCTCTTTACCAGATTATAAACTTGATTAAAAATCATACCGTTTCATTAGTTTTAGTCAAAGAACCAAATTTATATAATTACAAAAAGCAGTTAAATTAAATTCAAAAAAATTAATCTTAATTATGTCTTAAAACTCTTTATACCAATAAAAGTTACTGATATTAATATATACTGTAGTAAACGGATAAAAACACGTGAAATAAAAGAGGGAAAGTTTGAAAAATGGGAAGAATAATTATTGAACAGGAATTTTTAGTGTACGTTACTCGTCAAATTTTTAATGTACATATATAATGTCATGTTTAAGATTTTCAATTATAGGTTGGATTACATAAAAAAGAAAACGTTTTATGGCTGTTGAAAGAAAAAAATTTGAATGACAAAATTAGTTTTCTTAGTGTTCAAAATATTTAATGTGTGGATGAGAGATGTGTGGATGAGAGAGATGATGTAAAGTTGAGCCAACTTAGTTATTGACATCTTCAAATTCACAACAAGAAAATGAGCACTTTTAGTTAACCTGTCAACTATTACTCAAATTGCATCATGATGCCTGACCGTTCGAGGTAAATGGGTAATAAAGTCCATAACAATGCTATGTCATTTTCACTCAGGAATATTCAATTGTCGTAGTAGACCGTCTGGTCTTTGATGTTCAACCTTAGCTTTTTCACAAGTTAAACAAGAAGATATAAACCGAGCCACATCAGTCTTCATACCCGGCCACCAAAATGATTTCTTGAGATCTTATACATCTTAGTCATGTCTGGATGCATGCTAAAACAACTTTGGTGTCCTTCCTCAAGAATTAATCTTTTCAGCTCTCCCTCATTAGGAACACAAGTCCTACCCCTTAACCGTAAGAGACCGTCTGTCCCAGTATTAAAATTTTTTCCTTATTTTGAACCGATCAACCCAAAGATCCTTTGAAACTCCACATCATCCGACTGTTTCTCTTTGATTCGGTCAAACAAGTCACTTGATAACTTGAGAGTACAACACCATCAAAACCGATCGGTTTACTTTACTGTTCACACCTAGCTTCCACTTTCTAAATTTCTCAATTCCCATCCTTCCACCTGGCTTCCACTTCATCTTCAAAATTTAAGGGTTCTGACATGTAGTTCCTTCGAAATAATTCAACAAAACATAATTAAATCTCATTTATTTATAATAGATTTTGAAATAGCTATATAAGTTGCCCAAACGTTCATGAATATTTGTAATAATTTTTTCTGTTTTTCTTATAATACCAATAAATAAATTAATCAAATAATACAATAATAATAATATAGTTGCTTTCATTTGTCAATACACCTACCCCTGAAAGGATATCTTAAAGTTGAATATGCTTAAAGAATAAGATGTCAAACTTCGCATTCTTCTACACTTAATTTTGAATGTTTCAGCAACTAGCAATTTTGAAACCCTAAAATAAAAAATTGGTTAAAATGATGTCATTTTTAATAGTAATAATCAACTAATAAGTTGGACATAACAGATATGATAAAATAAACAAAGTCAATATATCTCTCATAATCAAATATTTCAACTTGTTACTTAGTGGCCATGATGGTACGGGACTCAAACCAAATAAGTTTTTTAATTTCTTACCATGTATGTTAAAAAAAAGTAATATATATACTTGTATTCGGTTTTATTCTATTCCATATAAAAAAAGTACTTGAAATATAAAATATGAACGATTTAAAGTCCCTGTGCTGATTTTGGGTTGATTCAAATCTAAGGATCAAATATGCTCAAATCTTATTATACAGAATGATTTTATGGCATTTTTTTTTAAAGTTATGTATAACATGAATTTTTTTATCAGTTTAGGTATTGTGATAATTAATTTATCTACTACAATTTAGACTCTATTCTTCTGTGGGAACATTAATTTGTTGTGTGATAAATAAGCTAGATATATATTATCGAGAAACTTCAAAACTATATATAATTATTAGAAAAATTATCTTAATTATTATGTTACATTTAAATTTATTTGCAAATTTCAACTTTATTTTTCTCAACGGTGAACTCCTTATGCAAATATATAGTGACTACATGCAGATTTTTAGAGGACAACGTATAAAATTTGAAAACCTTAAAAACTTGCCGTATTTTTGTATATTTAGACTGTAGCAAATTAGGAGCATTTTAACCAAATAATATTAATATGATTGAGGACACTGGTTTAAATTCTAATAGTAATTAAGATGAATTTTTGGTTTTAAACTAGAAGAATTTGTTAAGTTTAATTTAGGGAAAAAAAGGTTGAATTCCGTTTTGGAAAATAATTTCGCTTTAACTTCCAGAATTTAGTTAATTAAACTTATAAATTGTTAATTCAAATCAATTCCAACAAGCTATTTTTTTTTTCAGTTTATTTCGATTTTCACATAGTTCAGGACATTTAGCTTTTATGGTTTCCTACAAGACGTAATAGAGGAAAAAGAAGCAAGTAAAAGATAAAGTGGACTGTGAGTGTGTGGATATACAAAATTATGAATTGATGTAAATACTACATATGTTGTGATTTTGAAACTACTCTAATAAATTGTGTATATAGTTTAACAATTCATAAATTAAATGATATTAATTTATATTATCATTTTAATTTTTGTAATAATTAATGTTTTCAGTAAAGTATTTGTGTATGGCCCAGTATATAAACTTTCAATTCATTGATTAAATATTGTGATGGTGTAATTGACAAAAACTGTTTGCTTGTGTGTTTTTAAGAAAAAAAAAGCCTTATTTACGAATTTATAATATTTATTTTAAAACAAAAAAATATATATAAATACTATTTAAAACTATAAATGCTATCTTTTTTCTGAAAATTTAAAATTAAATTACTTTAGGTTTATTTAGCTCTAAACAAACGATTCTTCTTTGAAAGCTTTATACACTTAAAACGCTTGGTTTCTCCGAATAACCTATGTAGTATACGTTTAAAATAATTCTATTTTTTTAATAGGTTATACTCACAACTAAAGAGTATACACTTAAAATTCTTACTTTTGAAAAGGTATCTTTGTTTGTTATTTAACAAGTTTGGCTTAAATTCAACGTTATTTTCAATCATAATCTATTGTTACTCAAATTTTCTGACCTATTTCATAATCTTATAAACTCAAACATTTAAACATTAAATTATTTTTTATTAATTAGGGACATTCAGAAAACAATTATAAGAAGCTGATTTAAAATTATAAAAATATTTATCCTTATGGAAAATTTTTCTAACAAGCTTCTTAAAGTATGCTTATCTAAATATATTTATTGATTCACCAAAAACATTGTTAATTTATTCTATCTCACTTTATCGTCTTGCAACTTAACTTATGTATTACAAATAATAAATAAATATCTGATTAAGTTATTTATCAAAGTGCACTCTTTTAGTGAGTCAGGAAAAACATTATAACAAAGTAAATAATTATTTCACGTTTCATTAAATTATTCTTTAATCAAGTTATAGACACGAAGTATTTATTGAGCTCTGCTGTCTTTTACGCAAAATTTATCAGAAATCACTCCGCAATTAATTTACAGTTCCGATATTTCTTGGTGTAATTTATTTTTTGTAATATTAATGAGTTTTGTTATAAAGATATTCTAAACTATTTACACCCAATAGTTGGAGGTAAATTTAAGTTGCATATGGTACGAGTCGTGTCATAAGTTTTCCTTTAAATAATTCTTTGATTTTTCTGTGAAAATCTATTTGATGTTTTTTATTTTATATATATCATTTTATTTTGCCCCACTATTTATTTATTATTTGTTTAAATGATGTTGAGCGATGTTTGAGTTCTATAAATAGGGTTCACCGCAGTTGATTGTGAAGAAGAAAGTAATAGAGAGTGAAATGGGTGAGAAGTTAGAAGGTTGGGAGTGCAGTAGCAGTTTCCAGTGCTGTGGAAATTTGTGGCCTAAGGCACACTATCCTTCGATGACGGCGGTGGAAGCGGGAAAGACGGTGGCGGAATTAGAAGGATCAGAGAGCAAAGTGGTTTTGTTCGGCGTTACGGGAATGACGTGTGCTGCGTGCGCCGGATCCGTTGAGAAAACCATCAAACGCTTACCTGGAATCCGAGAGGCCGTTGTTGATGTCTTGAATCATAAAGCTCAGGTTCTTTACTTTCCTTCAATGGTTAACGTGAGTATCAATCTCTCTCCATACACTTTATTTCAACATTTTCATGATTGTTTGCTTTGCTTTTTCCCACTTTAACTACTTCTTTCGCCTTTTCAACACATTCGAGTCTCTCCATACACGAATTCTGAGTTCCTTAAAAAATCACAAAAGTTTATACGCAGCACAATGATACCATAAAAGAATATTAACTGAACAATTCTACTCACAAGATTGTGATCCTGCTTTAAAGAACTGAATTATTTTATGTAAAATTAAATGTGCAATTATAATAGTTGTTTACATCAGTTAACGAAACTGAAGAGGCGGGCATATGTATACTTGAGAATAACATTCTGATTTAAGTTTTCAGATTATGGACCGAAGATACATGTTTTTGCAAGAAGCTTTATTTAATTTAAGACGACCTTTCGATATCAATTATTAGTGTTTAAGGGGTTCTTTAAGTATATGTTAGGCCTACGTACATGATATAAATAATATTGGCAATTGATCATTTTAAAAATTTCCCAAAATTTTCTATTCTTGATCTCTTCAATCATTGTTTTTCATTAACGTCTAAAATATTATAATCATGGCAAATGATCGTGTTTGGAAAGTAAGTGGCCGATCGAAAGGTGAGTAGGGGAAGTGCGTGGATCAAAGATCTTGAAATTCCGAGTGCTATGCTTCGTGCAGAAAAAAATTGTTTGATTAATTAAATCGATAAAGTTATCCTTTGCTAAAGACTCAATAATTATGTTTAAAGAACTGACATAATTTACCAAAGCGTAATTCAAACCTTTCAATGTTTACTCTTTTACAGATAATGATGCTTTAGATGGTGACATTTTACTGTTATAGTTTATAAAGACTAGTAGAATAATATGATATCACACACATATTGCATATATTAACCATTTTTTTTATCTTTACGCATATGTATAACTATAGATGGTACAAGGCCTTTAGCTAACATAGTGGAAGGTTGGTAGTTGCGTGTCAAAATTTCTAAGTCGAGACTCAATAGCTATTGTTATGGTATATACATGTATTTTATGTATTACGTCTTCGTAAGCAATAGTTGGATACACATATTCAAAGCTGGTGTGATAAGATCATAAGTGAGTGAGTTTTCTGGCTTTTTCGAGTTTCTTTTTTCTCATGAAAAGGAAATCACTGACAGACCAATAACGTTCCTCCATATACCTTTTTTTAGTCTTTCTCATGGAACAACCCTAAAAATAGAACATCATTTTGAATTGACTTAAATAATTTTTTACTTCATAACTTTACATATTATTTTCAATACTTTTTTTTCTTTTTTTTTTTATCTAACGTACGTTCTTTTTGAATCTCCAATAATTTTTGTTGAGAAGTTTATAGTTTACTAATGTTATTTTAAATGATCAATTGTTTCTGAAATTGATCTTGTTAAAATTAAATAGAATTAACTGTTTTTAAATTATTTTATTTGAATGAAAAAGTTAATTAATGTAATATGGACAATATATAATATAAATAATGTGTTTCTTTTAGATTAAAACTTGCATTCTCAATTGGGTACTGTTATTTTTTGACAATCAACACAATTTTACGCACTTTTAGTTACCAAAATATTTTTAAAAGTGGATTGTCATGCTCTAAAAGATGTCAAAAAATCATTTTCTTTCTCAGTTCTTTTAATCCATCTTATTCCGGGTTGAAATTTAAGATTTATTTTAAGTTTTTTAAAGTTTCGTCTTTTATTTCTTGAGTTTTTTTATCCTTTGGCTTGTTGCTTTACAAGCATCATCATCTTTATTATTATTATTATTATTATTATTATTATTATTATTATTATTATTATTATTATCATCATCTATGGTTTATAAATAAATTAAAACCGAAATATCAACCAAAAACATTCTTATACCAGAAGCTAAAGTCAAAGTGAAACTATTTTTACAGTGTTCATTACATTAATAATATGCTGCCCATTGTGCACGTATATGCTATCTTTTTCCGCTTTAAAAGTTGACGATTAAACCATATCTTGTTATATATATAAAGAGAGAAAGAGAGAGAGAGAACAATCTTTTTGCTACCTCATCAGACCCGAAATTTTCCTTGGCTGATTCGTATTAATATTACACTTTTTATGATGTGCTCCACTTTCTTCCTGTAGCCATTAGTAGATCACATTCAACATAAATCTCTTCTACCGGATCTTCTTCCAACGATCTAAAAGTATAATCTAATTTTATAAACATGATATATAAGGAATTTAACTGCTGAAAGTGATTATCATTGTTGATGTAGCGAGATGGCAAAACAATTTTATATTCTTATTTAATTATAAATAACCATTTTATACCAATTTAATCACTATTTTATATCAATACATTATACTATAACTCATAAATACAAATAAAATATTAAAAGAAATAAATATATAAGAGAAGATTAATTTAGTACAATTTGTTTGAAATCAAATCAAATGAATAAAAAAAAATCTTTTGTTAGTGATTAATAAATAAAACATATAATTTTAGTTTGCATAAAACATATAGGGTTAAATATGTTTTTAGTCCTAAACTATCTATTGGTCGTTTCTGGTTTTCGTCCCTCTTTCAAAGTAAGGTACAATTTGGTCCTCATTTTTTTTTGAAACCTTCGTTTTAATCCTCGAAATTTTGGTTTTAGTCCTCAAACGAACGTTTCGAAAACAGTGAGGACCAAATTATACCTTACTTTGAAAGATGGACGAAAATCAGAAACGGCTAATAGTTTAGGGACTAAAAACATATTTAACTCAAACATATAAAATTCAATCTTAATCTCTCTACTATGAAAATGCATTACTTTGGATATTCAAACATCATCTAAGTTCTTTTTATACCTCTACAAAACACTATTTTTTCCAAAATTAGAGAGACTAAGAGTGGACAATTTTTTTTCGAAGAATTTAAATAGAATTTTAAAAAAAATTATACAACCAAAAGTATATTTTATCTGATATTATATTTTGTTGAAAATTTAAAATAATAGGTGGAATCAATAAAGCCTCATTTTATTGAATAACTAATTAAATAAATAAAATTAATTTAACGCACGTTAAAAAAATTCAGTGGTGAATAAATTCATGAGTAAACTCCTTAATATTTTTAGAAAAAAAAAAATACAAGAGATATTTATTAAGATGGGTGTATGTCTTTCATCATTTTTGTTTTGTTCTTTCATGGATAAAAGAATAGCTATGGCCATTATTAAACTCTTCTTTCATCGTCTGTTCACAAATCATACATTTGACGCAGGAGGAGAGGATACGCGAGGCCATTGAAGATGCTGGATTTGAAGCCAAAGTTATTGAAGAAGACTCCAACTACACCTCAACTCAAATATGCCGCATACACATACGAGGCATGACTTGTACCTCTTGCTCCTCCACTATCGAATCAGCTCTACAATCCCTTCGTGGGGTGCACAAGGCACGAGTGGCCTTAACAACAGAAGAAGCAGAAGTCCACTATGACCCCAAAATCCTCACCCACAACTACCTAATGGAAGCTATACAAGGCACCGGGTTCGAAGCCATACTAATAAGCACAGGGGAACACATGAGCAAGATTGAACTTAAAATTGATGGCATTAAAAACGACCAATCCCTTGGTGCCATTGAGCGCTCTCTCCGTTCAATCCCTGGTGTTGAAACCATAGACATATATCCGGACATTAACAAAATTGCCATAACTTACATACCACACATGACAGGACCAAGAACCTTCATAGAAGTCATAGAATCCACTGGATCAGGGTGTTTTAAAGCGGTGATATTTCCAAACGATGAAGGAAGAGAAGCACTTAGACAACAGGAAATTAACCGATACTTCAAGCTTTTCATATGGAGTCTAGCTTTTACGATTCCTGTTTTCTTGACATCCATGGTCCTCATGTATATACCTGGAGTTAAACGTGTTTTGGATGTCAAAATTGTTAATATGTTGAATATTGGACTTCTCTTGAGGTGTGACTTTGCTACCCCGGTGCAGTTTATCATAGGTAGACGGTTCTATGTTGGGGCATATAAAGCGTTGCGCAAGGGTTCTGCTAACATGGATGTGTTGATAGCATTAGGGACAAATGCAGCATATTTCTATTCTCTCTATGTTGTGGAAAGATCTGTTTTCTCTCGGCATTTCAAAGGAAACGATTTCTTTGAGACCAGCTCTATGCTTATTTCTTTTATTCTGTTGGGTAAGTATTTAGAAGTGTTAGCAAAGGGGAAGACATCTCAGGCGATTGCAAAGCTTATGAACTTGACACCTGAGACAGCGATCTTGTTAACTCAAGATGATAAGGGGGATGTT